AGAAAAGAAATTGTGTTCTCTCTGGTAATGGGAAGTAAATGTAAACTGGAGTTTATGTAACTCACCTCCACAAAGATTCCTTGAACAAAACTTATTTGCCAACATAAAACACACAAAATAACACACCGTGAGATTATCTGCCACAAAGGTGTTCAGGTCCTGAAACAGGTTTTAGGGTGCCCCACCCCAAAGGCTTTTTCAGGTTTACTGACATGCAGTCCAGCTTCAGTCTCACCAACGTATCTCAATGACCTTGCTGAAGGGAGAAAACCACAAATGTTTAGTATTTGGAGTTGTGACTAAAATAAAATATATATATATATAAATTTTATGCCTGTTTTAAATTTGTATTCTCCTCTCAAGAACCTCTACGAGCTGGGACCGGTTTGGCTCAATGGATAGAGCGTTCGCTTGGGGACTGAAGGGTCCTGGGTTCGATTCCGATCAAGGGCATGTACCTTGATTGCGGGCACATCCCCAGTAGGGGGTGTGCAAGAGGCAGCTGATTGATGACTCTCTCATCGATGTTTCTAACTCTCAATCTCTCTCCCTTCCTCTCTGTACAAAATCAATAAAATATATTAAAAAAAAAAAAGAAAAAAGAACCTCTACGAGTAAACTTTTGTCATCACCCCCCCACTAAGTTTCCTTTGTAGATGGTTACCCCTCAAAATTTAAGGTTGCATTAACAAATCTGTAGTCAGAATAAAAATTTTAGTGAACATTAGAAAACTATAAAATGTAACAGACAAATCTATGATGAACTAATTATAAAAAATTGAAATAATAGGATCTGGCATTGCAGTTGTCTGAGAAAACCTCATTCTCCTTACCTTGATTGCAAAAAATCCTATTTATAAAAACAGGCCACCAGCATAGGTAATAAAAGAAAAATATATATAAATTGGATCACATCAAAATTTAAAAATTCTGTGCATCAATAGGACACAATCAGTGGAATGAAAAGGCAATTCTTGGGGTGGAAGAAAATATTTGCAAGTCATATATCTGATAAGGAGTTTATACGTAGAACTAAAGGCCTGATGCACAAAATTCCTGCAAGGGGCTAGGCCCTCACAGTCCTGTCTGCCTTGCTGGCCCTCACAGCCCCAGCTTCATCATGAAGGTCATTCTGTTATGTCTAATTAGCATATCAGCTCTTTATTATATAGGATATATCAAGAAATCCACGTCACAACTCTAAGAAAACACCCAGATGAAAAAACAGGCTAGGGCTTGAGTACACATTTCTCCAAAGATGATGTACAAATGGTTACTAAGCTCATGGAAAGGTTCCCCCACCTCACTAATCATAAAAATAAATGCAATTGAAACCACGCTGATACCACCTCATCCCATTAGCATGGCTGCTATAAAAAATTAAATCTGAAAATAACAAATGTTGTGGAGGACATGGCAAAACTGGACCTTTGTTCGCTGCTACTGGGAATGCAAGGTGGTACTGCCTGATCCGCTTGCATGAGGTACTCCTGTGGGTCTAACACAATAGAGTCAGTTTTGTAGGAGGAAGAGCCATGCCGACGGAGGGTGGTGATGGTTGCACAGTAAGAACAGTGAGCTTAATACCACTGACTGCACACTTAAAAACGGTTACATATACATTTTACCTTATCTCTATTTTACCATAATAAAAACTAATAACAATAAATTGCTCTCATAGAAATTAGAAATGGAAAAGGACTTGAAGAAGCACATTAAAAGATGCTGAACAGCCGAAACCGGTTTGGCTCAGTGGATAGAGTGTTGCCCTGCGGACTGAAAAGTCCCAGGTTTGATTCAGGTCAAGGGCATGTACCTTGGTTGTGGGCACATCCCCAGTAGGGGGTGTGCAAAAGGCAGCTGATCAATGACTTTCTCCCATCGATGTTTCTCACTCTCTATCCCTCTCTCTTCCTCTCTGTAAAAAAAAAAAAAAAGATGCTGAAAATCATATATCAATAGAAAAATGCAAATCGATGCCACTTCACATCCACTGAGATGGCTAATATCAAAAGGCAGAAAATAACTAGTGTTGGGAAGAATGTGGAGAAATTGTCCTCCTTGTGACTGCTAGAGGAAACGTAAAATGGTGCAGCTACTGTGGAAAACAGTAGAGCAGTTCTCAAAAATTTAAAAGCCAGATTACCATATGATCCAGCAAATTTTTTTTTCTGGGTCTACACAAAATATTTGAAAACAGTGACTCCCTAGTGATTTTGCACACCCGTGTTCAAGGCAGTGTTATTCACAATCACCAAAAGACAAAAGCAACCCGAGTGCAGATTATTAAATGATTAGATAAACAAAACATGGAATTTCCATACAATGGAATATTACTCAGCCATGAAAAAGGATACCTAGCACATGCTACAGCACGGAAGAAACATGAGGACATTATACTAAGTGACAAATTCCAATCACAAAAATAAAACCACTGTAAGATTCCAGTTCTAGGAGGCACCTGAAGTAATCAAATGAAAACCGAAAGTAGAAAGCTGGTTGCCAAGCCAGGAAAAAACAAAGTTGTTTACTGTGCTCGGTCTTAGCTTAACAAGAGGAACAGTGATCTGGAGATTGTTTGCACAGCATGAATGTGCTCAGCACGAATGAACTGTGCACTGAGAAATGGTCAAGAGAGCAAAACTTACCATTAGGTAGCCATTACTGCAGTTTTAAAAGTGGCCATTGACCAGCAAAGAGACTGATCCATGTGAGGACTGTGTGAACACATTCCGCTGATGTTCGGGCGGCATCCCCCTGGGACAGACATCCCGGAGCACAGGCGGCTGCTGGCTGGAAGGGGAGGAACAGGCGCAGGCAGAGACAGACGCCCACAGAGAAGCCGGAGCTGGAGAATGGGATGGGCAGCTGTGAGCAGCTGCTCGCCTTTGGCGGCCGGGTCTCCAGTTGCCCCTCCTGCTCTCTGACCGCCGCAGGGGGCCCCTCCCTTCCCAGCCCCCGCCCCCCGCCCCCCCCCCCCCCCCCCCCCGCTGGTCACGCTCTGGTGGCTCCCGCCGCCCTGGTGGCTCCCGCCACCCTCGGGGTCCCTGGGCGTCCAGGTCCCTGCGGTCCAGGAGGCGGGCTCCCTGCCTTCAGAGCAGCCTTTCCCTGGGCTCTGGCCCCTCACCGCCAGGTCCAGGCCTCTGTCCCCTCCCCCACAGCTGCGCCTCGGCTGCACCGGCCCCGTCACAATAGTGACCGAGGGGGCGCTCTGGGGCTGGAACGCAACAGAGGTCCAGCGCCCTCGGAACCCTGTGAGGGGGTGGAGGTGTGGGGGCACCCAGTCACTAGTCTTTGCTGAGTGCAAGGCTAGACCCAGACCATTGCTTAGTGGTTTCAAGAGCACTTTCACTTCAAGGGCTCTGGCATACCATGTGTGTGTGTGTATATATATATATATATATATATATATATATATATATATATATATATATGTGTGTGTGTGTGTTTTTGTGTGTGCATGTGTGTTCTATCCTGTCATGTCCATGTTAAAAAGGTAACATGAGCAAAGCCAAACAAAACATGGAATTTCCTTGTTTCTTTGCTTTTGTTTTTAATTTAAAAATTTTTTAATTAATTTTTTTATTGATTAAGGTATCACATATTTGTCGTCAACCTCCCATTCTAATCCCCCCATCCACTCGTGCCCCCACCCCCCTATTGCCCATGACCACTGGTTAGGCTCATGTGTGTCCATTAGTCCTTTATTTTAAATGCGGTGATTATTCTGAATCATTGCTCAGTGACCTGCTCCTCCTTTCTTTAGACAGCACCAAATCATGAGTTTCCTTTTAGTGTTGACTTAGTTTGAAGTGGGGTTTCTCAAGGATGTTAAAGGTGACAAAATGGACTTGAAGGCATGGTTGTCAGCTCTGAGCTTCAGAAGCATCAATAACAGTCCAGATCTGGGGGTGGGGAAGAGGAAGGGAGCAGGGCCCTCTGCTGGCCTAGACAGAATCTCTTATGTTACCTTTGAAGAAGAAAGATCCTCTCTCTAGAATGGTTTCTATCCCCCATCCTCTCCACAAAAGGGAAGAAGTGCAGGGGACTTTTAAAGTGCCAGATGAATGCCTGGCTCCCACTTCTCCGTAAAGCTCTGTGAGTAGTCTCTTAGAAAGTTTTCCTTAGAGTCCTGTGTTGTGCCTGAGCTGTTACCCTGAAAAGGGCTCAGGCCTGCTTTGAAACTTACTGTTCTCCCCTTAGGGACTTTCCCCACCGTGTTTTGTGTATCTATGTTCCCAGTGGACAGGGTGTGGGGCTAAGAGTGGGGGTAGAGGGTTGGAGGTACTAAGGTATTGGGGGACAGGGTAGGTCTGGTCCATTTGAATGGCAGTTTTTCAGCAATTTCCATCACATTCACCAACCCCATGTGACACACAAAACAAATATATAGAGAATTCACAACTTTATTCAAACTACAAAAAATGACGATTCTTGGGGAAAAGGGGAGATGGGGTTGTGGGAAGAGACTAAACATAAACTGTGAACCTATGGATGAGGGAAAAGGGCAGAGGGTGGGGTGGGAACCTGGTGGAGTGGAGCAACGGAGGGGGGGGGAAAGAGGAACATCTGTAATAATAGGAACAATAAAGAAAAAAATATATATATAAAAGAAAAAAAAAGAAAAAAAAGAATGTGCCCTGAAACAATAGGCCAGTGACTTTATACTTTTATTTACTACACAAAGCAGATATTTGGCGAACTGTTATTGATGGTGAGGTATGCAGAATTTGAATCTGGCTCAAATATTCCTTAGGAACCATTCATCAGGAAATGGGAGCTATTGAAGCACAATTCACAGATAAAACACAGGGGGGAAAAAACAGGCAAAAGACTTGAATAAGCATTTCTCCATTCCTTAACAAACGGGAGCCATTAAAGCATCATTCATGGATAAAACAGAAAAAAAAAAAGATAAAAAGAAAAAAAAAACACACAGGCAAATGACTTGAATAAGCATTTCTCCATTCTTTAGAAAATGGGAGCCATTAAAGCACCATTCATGGATAAAACACAGAAACAAACCAGGCCCAGACATGTGGGTGTGGGCCACCATGAGGCACATGAGGCAAAGGTGGAAAAAACAAGGGCTGCGGCTGCGGAGGAGCAGGCACGAACAGAGGAGGATAAGGTGCCACTGGTGGCAGCAGCAGCCCTAGCGCCTGTGGCTGAGGATACCTTATCCAAGCTGGTTGCGGGTACCACATCCAAGCATGTGGCAGAAACATCAAAGCAGGCTGCGGAGGGAGGATGATATTTTGCTGCGCACCCACATTAATGTGGATGGGGTTGCCCTGGACCATGTGGCGCACATTTCTCCACATAAATGCCCTCTGTCGTCTCCGTCTATTCTTAAACCAAATCTTCAAACAGAGAGAAAAGGGGATTAGTTTAGTACACTGAGCATTTGATATCATATCTGAAAATAAAAAACCCACAACACACAGTAAGCAACAATATATGTCTTAAGATTTTAAACTGTACCAGAGGAAGATATTTCCTTCTTGCTCAAGCATCTTAGTAGAGTGCCTACCAAGGGAACTTTTGGCTCACCCACAGTGAGCACTAGCCATGTGCTAGGCTATGGGGAAGCCTACTGCCTTTTCTCTCCTCCCACATTTAATTTATTGTCCCCTCTTACATGCAGGTTGAACTGAGGAATTGTTCTCTATGCCTACTGTTATCGCTATGCCTTGTATGTCTGTATTCTGTGGGGAAGTAGAGTACAGTAAAAAGTGGATGCTTTTTACAATCCTGCTGAGAACAGTCTCTGTATTGAAAAGGCCCATTTATCTTCTTTACACAGTAAATAGTTTATAGGGGCATACTGGTTTTTTAGACAAAAGCTTCAAGGATTCCGAAAGGGTCATTCATCATCTAAAACCCCTTAATAAATATGGCAGTATTATTCAAAATCACCAAAAGACAAAAGCAACTCGAGTGCCCATTATTAAATGATTAGATAAACAAAACATGGAATTTCCATACAGCGGAATATTACTCAGCCATGAAAAAGGATACCTAGCACATGCTACAGCACGGAAGAAACATGAGGACATTATACTAAGTGACATATTCCAATCACAAAAATAAAACCACTGTACAACTCCGGTTCTAGGAGGCACCTGAAGTAATCAAATGGAAACCGAAAGTAGAAAGCTGGTTTCCAGGCCTGGGAAACACAGGTGGTATTGTGAGGGAGGCTGGGTCATGGGGTTCCTAGGGAATTTGTGGCTTGTCTTGCTGGGATATGAGAAAAGCTGAAGCCCTGGAAGCTGCCTTCATATTTTAGAATTTTGAGGTAATACATATTTAGACAGACTCACTAAATTTCTTAAAATTCTAAAAATCTTTGTCCAGCCAAGATTCTGGAGAGAAGGAGTCAAACCACTGTCATAGTTGTCAATTTTGCTCATTCCACCCTGCCCCACCCTACACACCCTCCTGGGCTCAGGATCAGGTCAGCATACTCTGCTCTGGCTACAGTTCCCGGACTCTGCACCAGAGCTGCTGCTGTACAGCATGGTGGGGCCCAAAGCCCTGCTACTCAAAGAGGGGATTCCCTTATCCTAAGGCAAGAAGGTTGAACAGGTATTTTAGAAAAGTAGACAAAATTACTCCTTCCTAAATATTTGCCAACCACTCTTGTAGACAAACAAACATGTCAGTTAGGCTCCACTATATTCTCACTATCCTAGTTACTGGCGTTTACATTGTTTTTAAATTCTTTTGGAAGTTTCCTAACTGAAAATTTTAAGAGACAAAAAGAGCCTTCTCTTGCTGCTTGAGATGAGATTTCCCCTCTTCAATCTTAGAATTTAGGTCCTTCTTCTTTAAGAACATGTCATCTATAAGACACTAAATTCAAGATCATTTTGGGGGGATCCAAGTGTACCCATGGTAAAATCTGCATAAACATAACTAAAACACAAATCAGGCTAATACTACTTCCTTATTTCCAATGCTGGTTTCATTAAAAAAAATCATACTTTATTTGCAAAATAGATGGAGGGCGGATCTCCATTAAAATTGCATTGGACACATGATATATAAACTGTGCATCTATGGATGAGGACAATGGAGGGTAGGGAAAAGACAGAGGATGGGGTGGGAACCTGGTGGAGGGGAGCAATGGAGGGGGAAAAATGAGGAACATTTGTAATAATATGAACAATAAAGATTAAAAAAATTAAAAAAATGTGGCTCTCAAAAAAATTGCATTGGACAAATGCTATGTGACCTCATGTATATGTGGAATATTTAAAAACTCTAAAAAAAATCACTTATAGAAAACGATCAGATTTGTGGTTACTAGAATGGGAGACTGAGGGAGAGGAATTGGAGGAAGGTGGTCAAAAGGTACAACGGTCTAGTTATAAGATAAAAAAAGTCCTAGAGATGTAATATACATTATGAATAAGGTAGACACCCCTCTGGTATAATATAGAAGTTGCTAAGAAAATAAATCCTAAGATTTCTTATCACAAGGAAAAAAACACCACTTTTTTTCTTATGTTGTTTGTATCTATGTGACATGATGTTAACTAAACTTATTTTGTCAGTCATTTCACAATATATGCAAATGAAATTATTATGATGTACACCTTAAACTTATACACTGCTATAGGTCAATTATATCTCAACAAAACACAAAAAAATTATTGGTGGAATTAATGCCTTAGAATTTGGAAACAGATTAGAGCATTATGGATTGTTTCTATAATATGACTCCTTTTTTCCCTTTAGAACTCCATTGAGACAACACTAAGCAAACTCATGGAGGAGTAAAGGAAATCACCAAAACGGAATTATTTTCCTCTGAGCTGGCTTTGCCTGCAGGGAGAAAGCAGAATCCTGGTCCTCCCAAGCCTGTCCAGCCCTGACTGTGATCCTTGCCCTTAGCATCAGTGGCCTGCTTGATTGGGCTGCTTTTCACACAGTCCTCCACCAGATCTGCAGCCAGATTCCATCACTGATCTCACACACACTCTCTGCAGGAAAGCTAAGAAGCCCATCCTGATTTTTTCTCTTTCTTTTCTTCTCCATTCCCCCCCCCCCCCCCCCCCCCCGCCCCAACGTTTGTCTTTGATACAAACTAGGTTAACCTATGGTCTCAGAAAAAAAGACTTCTTGACCCATTGACCCGTGTTAGTAATCACTGACTGAACAAATAAAAAAGTATTTCAAATTACCACATGTGAGAATCCAGCCTGAACAATGAGCCACCTTTCACTATCAACAAGTTAGACCCAGCCCATCTCCTCACAGAAAGGAAGACAAAAATCTCTCAGGTATTAGAAATTTCTCAAGAGAATATTCATTAATGCATTTGGTAATTCCTAAAATTTTACTGTGAGTGGTATCCCCAAGACACGTGTTCTTCTCTATGTTAATATTGCCTAACACTTCTGCCTTTCTTAGGTTGGTGGAACTCTGTTTGAAATTGTTTTATTTTATTTCCCTTTTTAGACATATTTTAAATGTTGTAAGTCTTCATTTAATCTCCTCCATAATGCACAAACTACTATGTTAAAAGGCTAACATATATTAGTATTCCAGAAAATTAAAATTTAGGGCTGCCACTCTCTACAATGTTTTGCTAAATCCTTAAAAAGAACAGCAGGTAAAAAAAAGGCACCTGGATTTACCCCCACCATTAGTCTCACCTTAACTTAGCAGACATTAGTGCTCAAATGCTGTGTTTTAATGTGTGAATTATTCCCTCCCAAACCACTAAATATTTATAAATTCACCCTTTATGCAACGAGCTTATGCTTACTTTTAAATAATTTAGAATAATTGAATTCCTTGGTTCATTAATATGAACAATTTCCACTTCAAGCTTAATCCCAATATGACTTCACACAGAAGTGTTATCTGGAAGATATCAGTGTTAGGAGTTGAACTCTGTGTTTGTGTATAATACACATGTAAAATGTAAGTATACACAGGTATAACTTGTACAAAGGTATATATGTATCTTTGAATACAAGGAATAGTACACTATAGTAATTCTTTTTTAAATTGAAAATCATGTTCCCTTTGATAATGGACAATTTCCAAAAGCTAGAGTTTATTTATCTTATTAAGACACCAAACTTATTTTCCAATGATGGAAAAGGCAATGAAAACACACCAACTTGAGAATGTCTCAGACAAAGGTGTGTAAGTCCTGAAATAGGTTTTAGAATGGCTGCCCTGCCAAATGGCTTTATTCATGTTTACTGACCTGCACCCGGGCTTCAGTCACATTCATGCGTCTTGCAATGTCCTGTCTGAAAAGAGAAAACCACAAATATTCAGTAAAATTAAATATATTCTTATTTACATTTTTTTCAGGGAAATGTCTGATTTATTTTATGAACCAATTTCTGTTGTAGGGAAATTCACACCATTTCAGGATTTACAGAAAATTAAGTTGACAAAGCATTTTATAAAAGCCAAGTCTCATGGAGGCACAGTTCCCAGAACAAATGAAATCTGAACTTATTGTTTCTTTCAGTGTTATCAACTTCACAATGACTAAAAAAAATCTTTGACTGAGGAAATATCTCTCCCAACTTTCAACCACTGATCTTACACATTTTATGGATTAAATTAGATTCTCAAATGGATTGGCTTATCTATCTATCTATCTATCTATCTATCTATCTATCTATCTATCTTTATCTATCTATCATCTATCATCTATCAGTGATGCACAGATTGGAGTACAATCTTAGTAGATGTTAAGTTAGGGATGACATAAACTCTCTGCTGTTCATTCTTGGATTGTGAAAGAAATAAATAAAATTTTAATCACCAATTTCCCCACTACACTATTCTGTAATATCTAACTTGAGGCTTGTATCTTCTCAAAAGCAGTGTGTAAGGGTATGTAGAAAAATCACTACTCAAGGTAAATATTTCTCAAATGCAGCATTATAAAATATAGAAATTAATGCCAAAACAACCTATGATGAACAGATTTGTGAACATTTAAAATTAAGTTAGGATCTGGTTCTAATAGAACGTTATTTAAAATAACAGGCGCCTGCCTGGTTCCCAGTTTGATTCATTTAAATTTCGCACTGCAGCCCAGGCCCCCGTGGCTCTTAGTTGGTTGGAGTGTCGTCCCGAGAGTGTCCCACAAACTGAAAAAAGGTTGCGTGCGCTTTGATTCCTATCAGGGCACATATCTTCGTTGAGGGTTGATTGGTCGGGTGCATATGGGAGGGAGGCTCTCTCACATTCTCTCTCTCTCCCTCTCTATCTAAAAATCAATATAAATAAATAAATAAACAAACAAATAAATAAATAAATAAATACCGCACTACATTATTTACCTTGAGTCCCAAAAGGCATAGCGCCCCCCCCCACCCCCCCCACCCCAAGTGCAGGAGAGCCACTGCCACCCCTCCCCACAGCCTCCGGTCCCCCATATGGCATTTAGTTCAGAAGGGAAGGAGAGGGACCTATTAGAGATACCCAAAGGCCACCCAGGCTCATCGCCACGTGGTCCTTGGAAAGGGCGGCAAACCTACCTCATCAACATGTCCGGAAAGGGGTAGCGGTGAAAAAGGCGCTCCAGCTCCTGCATCTGCATCACGGTGAAGGTGGTACGCTGTGCCACCCGACGCCTGTTCCATGGACGTGGACGCCGGATGTTGACCAGGACGGGCTGTGCCTCCTGCTCTTGCTCTTCGGGTTCTTCCTCACTATCGTCGCTACTATAGTCGCTGCTCTCGTCGGGTTCGTCAGGTTCGTCTAGGTCATCGGGCTCGTCCGGCTCGTCCAGTTCGTCAGATTCATCAGATTCATCGGATTCATCGGGCTCGTCCGGCTCGTCCAGTTCGTCGGGTTCATCAGGTTCATCGGGCTCGTTGGGTTCGTCCTGTTCGTCGCGCTCGTCGGCTTCGTCGGTTTCGTTGTCTTCGTCGCGCTCGTCGGGTTCGTTGTCTTCGTCGCGCTCGTCGGGTTCGTTGTCTTCGTCGCGCTCGTCGGGTTCGTTGTGTTCGTCGCTTTCGTCGCTTTCGTGGTTCATGGGGTCTGAGGTGTCTAGGCCATCTAGGCCACTGTCGTGGTCTTCTTTTGCTTCTTCCTCAGCTTCTATCACTTTTCCTTCTGCGGACGCCATTTCTTGCTCAGGTACGGGCTCTGTATCCATTTCCTTTTCTCCCTCTTCAGTTAGCAAGATCTCTGCTGGCTCTGCTTCTGCAAAGAAAGAAACCCAAAGAGAAAGATATGTTATGTAGCCCAGGCTGTGGGAAGGAGGAAGTTACTGGCTGCATCTGAGGGGTGTCCCGTCCGCTCGCCTCCCCCCAGAAAACGTTAGTTTCTCGGAGTTGGCTGAAGCTCGCTTCAGGAGCAGCACTAACCCTGCATTTCTCCCCCATTCTCCTCCACTCCTGGGCTGACGAAGCCGTTAGTATCCTGGTTGGGCTGGCCCTGAGGATTCATGTCCTGAGTGCTGTCCATGAGGCTGTGGCGTCTGCTGATGCTGCGTGCGACCTGGCTCCTTCAAGGTTCTTCTGGCGTCTAGTCAGGCGGGAGTGTTCAACGACTGCTGGGGGTGGGGTGCCGAGGTGCGCATGCGTAAAAGCACAACTTGGGCCTCCAAGTTGCAACTTAGCCGACTGCTACAAACTTGGTGGAGGGTCTTTCCAGAGGAAGGGGCTGTGCTGAATTGTGCAAGCTGATTTGTAGGCTCTGGGGGCCTTAGAGAAATGTTTACATAATATCTCTTGGTCCAGCTTCCATACACAGCATTCAGTACTAAGCAGGGGGTAGTAATCAAACAATCTACCGGTAAGTAGGTAGGAGGTTGTTTGCTAAGTTTTTGCTAACAACAGACCTTACCATACTTCTCAGGTTTGCAGGAGGCTGGGATTGGCTTTTCCAGGCACGCCAGGTGCTGGAAAAGCCAAAAAAAAAAACCAAAACGAAACCCCCAAAACATCCCCCCCACCAACACATATGAATGATATATGGTACTTGTCTTTCTCTGACTAGCTTATTTTCACGCAGCATAATACACTCAAGATCCATCTATGCTGTTGCAGAGAGTAAGATTTTCTTCTTTTTTACATTCCAGTAGTATTTTAAATTCACTCATTTACTGATGGGCACTTGGACTGTTTCTAGATCTTGGCTATTATAAATTAACAAACAAAATAGAAACAGAATCATAGTTCTCTATCTATGAATCTGTTTTCTGGGAACTTGAGGCAGCGGGGGGCATTACCTATTAGGCATACTACATAATGTGTTTTCAAGCTGTCAGTGGGGCTAGGTAAAAAAGGTGAAGGGATTAAGAAAAAAGAAAAGAAAGGGAAAACATAGTTATAGAAAATAGCATGGTGATTACCAGAAGGAAAGGGGGTGGGGAAGTAGAAGAGGATATGGGGTTATAAATGGTGATGGAAAGAGACTTGACTTGGGGTATTGAACAAAATACAATATACAGATGATGTGTTATAGAATTGTACACCTGAAACCTATATAATTCTATTAACCAATATCACACCAATAAATTAAAAAACAACAACCATCAAGCCCGCCCATTGAATAAGTAAGTCCACTGCTTATAAACTTTTAGTAATGAATCCATTTCCACATGCAGGAGTAAAAACCTGCAGTGTTTAGAACATACAAGAATGCCCAAACTGCAAGAAGCTCCTGGTTCTTACTGTAGATAATGCCTCTTTTGCTGTGTCTGTACCTCTATTCTCTCTTCGAAAGATCATTTGTTCCTTGTGCTGGGTGGAAGCTGTGGACTTAGTTGAGTTTCTGCCTTTCCTGCTGCTGTTTCCTACCCGTTTCCTCTATGTCTCTCTTTTTCTAGAAATATCTTCCTGAACTCTAGCTTAGGAATTAATAAATTTTATCTATTTTCAAATAAAGAGAGCCACGACAGACTAAGAGTTTTTTCTTCAAGGAGTGTTTCATAGATGCTGCAAAATGTGTTCATGTTCTAATATTAAGACTAACAATGGTCCCTATGCTTAACAATGTATGTCAACTAGCTTATTTTTACCTGCATAACCAACATTGTCACCAACCCTATATTATATCAGAAATTAAATTATTTTCGTGGGCCCCTAAATGTATCATAAACCCCAGTCACCTTACGTAGTGTGCCTAATAGGTAAGGGCCCCCTGCCTCATGTTCTCAGAAAATGAATAAGAAAATAGCTTAAAAACAAAGTTTGGTTGACCTATTTCAAAAAGATAGGCAGAGATGGCAATCTGATATTTACTTAACTGTATACAGGGACTAGAAGTAGTAGTTCAGTTCTATTTGTCTTCCTTTAGGAAATCATGTTCCTTCTGGTAATGTGCAATTTCCATAAGCTGGGGTTTATGTATCAGAATTCCAGATAAATAATAATTTTGCACAATTAAAAAATCAAAATTAATTTTTTATTATGAACAAATTACCAAATTTTAAAATAAAGACAGGATCTGACTCTTCACTTGCATGACCAATGGTCCCTTACACTCCTTACCCTGATCATCACCCTATTTCCAATCAAAGGCAAATTATAAAAATCTAGCATCAGGCTAAAGTTTCTCCTGTTTGATTTATTGTAATGTGGTATAAAAATATTTGCCGTGTTGCCCAGGTGGTATTACCTCCAACCTGGCACCTAACGGCAGGCAGGCCACAATGGCCGTGACTCTGAGGCTGTTTGGCCTTTAGCTCAGGAAGGGAGGGAAGAGCTAGAGAATGAAGCCTGGGTCCAGAACAGTGCTTCATGGAAAATGCTTGCTGCCTGAACATGCCTCTTTCACCCAGAGGCAAAAGTTGTTCAGTAGAGCGCCTACTGTCAGTCCATAGACTGCCTGGGTTCCAGCTGCTGCCCTGGAGGTCTTCTTTGTTCATGGGTTCAGGAGCTTCTGCATCAACTGGCCTTAGCCTTTTGCTGGTACTGCTGGTGCTGCTGGTGCTGTTGCTCCTGAAGTAGGTTCAAACTGTATTTCATTCTTGTCTTCTGATGCAATCACAGAAATCACAGAAGGGTTTGCATCTGGATAGGAGGAAAAGCAAACAGACAGGATCTGACCAATGATCCCTTACTCTCCTCACTCTGATCACCACCCTTTATCTTTGGATGCCAGGGTTCAAGGGCAGGAGAAAGCCAGGGGCCAAGAACTGAGAGCAGCAGGGAAAGAAATTCGGCATCCTGTTTGCTCTGCTGTCAGGAAAGTTTGTATCCTGGAATTTGCTGAAGCACATGTCTTGGTCCAAGCACTCAGCCTGAAGTTCCTCCCAATCTTTGCTGACTCCCAGGTAACAGGTGTCATTGCAGTTGCATCTGGGTGGTTGCTCCTTGTCTTCAGCACTGTACATGTAACTGTGTGTCTCTGCAGACCTGGAGTCCCTGGTAATCCCTGGTCAGAGCCTCTGTTGGTGTCTGGTCTCAGTGACAACGTGTCAGCCTCAGATTCAAAGCATGTGTACTACATGTTTGATGCTAGCTATTGCCTTTGTCACATCTGTTAACGAAGGGGAGAGGACCTGATCTCCCCCAGTTGCTAGTGGGGGTGGATTTCTTGCAATATCCAGAGAAAATAAATTTTCTGAGAATTAGATGGGAGGATGACTTATAGCAGAAAGCTTTATTTTCGTGGAATTAAATCCCTGAGTTTCCAAAGTCCCATTTCCCTTTACCTAGTAATCTATACTAGTAAAAGGGTAATATGATAATTAGGGCAAACGTCTTCCGGATGTCCTTCCAGACCAAGCTGCAGCGGCTGCCCGAGGCTTAGGCAAGTCTTGGATGCCAGGCTGGCCTGAGGCTCAGGCAGGCCATAGATGGTGGCTGCCGCTGTGGGAGTTTGAGGCTCAGGCAAGATGTGGTGGCTGTGAGAGCTGAGGCTCAGTCTGATGCAGTAGCCGGCAGTGGTAGCAGCAGAGGCGTGATGCGGCCATCGCCTTCCCCTGATTGGCGGTTGTCTCTGTAGGCCAGTGTTTCCCAAACTTTTGACATATGTGTACCCCTTCTATAATTTTTGTAACCCGGAGTACCCCTCGTACTCATGAGAATGTAGAATTAGGCGCAGCTAAGCACGGTGCAGGGCATATCCCTACCAAACTCCGGTGCAATGCGTACCCCCACCAAACTTCCCATAGCCCTGGGGGTACGCGTACCACACTTTGGGAAACACTGCTGAGTGTAGGCCATCAGTAGGATATCTCCTGAGGGCTCCCAGACTGTGAGAGGGGGCAGGCTGGGCTGAGGGACCCCCTCCCAAGCGCACAAATTTCCATGCACTGGGCCTCTAGCAGAAGATATTTAGATGGGCTTTAGCAGAACTAAAATCAGAATCAGTATCCAGAGTTTCCTTTCCATGTTGGAGCTGAGTTTATTCCAGAATCAGGCTAGATTATCTTGTGTTTCCTGCTGCAATCTATTAGTTCATTGTGTGTGGGGTCTGTATGGCCCACAGAGAATGTAAGGAAGCAGGAATGAGCTAAGAGCACAAAAGAGCCAAGAGCAACAAGAATCATGAGCCAAGTGCACCTAGAGGAAACTCCTTTGTTAAGGAAATCATGTATTCCCAAATTTTCATGTGCTTGCAGTGGCCATGCCTATTCTGGCCAATGACCTCTGTTCCCAGGTGTGACTGACAAACAGCGCTTTCGCTGCCACACAAACTTTACTGGGCATGCACCTATCTTCCCTTGGTCCAGTCCCTTCCCCCAGTGTTTTTTTTTTTTTAATATTTTAAAAAATATATTTTATTGATTTTTTTTTACAGAGAGGAAGGAAGAGAGAGAGCTAGAAACGTTGATGAGAGAGACACATCGACCAGCTGCCTCTTGCACACCCCCTACTGGGGATGTACCCGCAACCAATGTACATGCCCCTTGACTGGAATCGAGCGAACCTGGGACCTTTCAGTCCGCAGACCGACGCTCTACCACTGAGCCAAACCGGTTTCAGCTCCCCCAGTGTTTTGTAGGGAATTGTCTGGTGGATCTCTGGAGAGTGCAAAGTTGCAGCTTCCTGGTGAAGCTGCCCAAATGACATGCCTATAATGTCTGGCTTCCCCTTTGCTCCTAATAATTAGCTAATTAGACCAAGCCAGTGTGGCTCAGTAGTTGAGCATCGACCCATGAACCAGGAGGTCACAGTTCAATTCCCAGTCAGAGCACATTCCCAAGTTGTGGGTTTGATCCCCAGTAGGGGGGCATGCAGGAGGCAGCAGATAAATGATTCTCATCATTGATGTTTCTAGCTCTCTCCCTTCTTCTCTCTGAAATTAATAAAAAATACTTTAAAAATAATAATTAGCTAATTATACCGGTATCTCCACCAGTTGCCATAGGTGGAATTTGCTGGTGCACACATATGCTAGTGCATGGCCATAAAATACAAAATATTGTTTATAAATATATAAAATATAAAATATTGGATAACTATATAAAACATAAATCTAAACTTTATACAGTA